ACCATATGTGACACTAATCATTGTAATTGGTGTTAACTTATTACCATATGTGACACTAATCATTGTAATTGGTGTTAACTGATTACCGTATGCGACACTAATCATTGTAATTGGTGTTAACTGATTACCGTATGCGACACTAATCATTGTAAATTGGTGTTAACTGATTACTGTATGTGACATTAATCAGTGTAATTGGTGTTAACTGATTACCGTATGCGACACTAATCATTGTAATTGGTGTTAACTGATTACCGTATGCGACACTAATCATTGTAATTGGTGTTAACTTATTACCATATGTGACACTAATCATTGTAATTGATGTTAACCGATTACCGTATGCGACACTAATCATTGTAACTGGTGTTAACCGATTACCGTATGCGACACTAATCATTGTAATTGGTGCTCACAACTAACTGAGGTAATAGGTGACTGAATCTGTGTTGAGAGAGTTAAAAGCTTCTTTTTGGGGGGGCACCCAAATTTGTTAAACTCAATGATGTTTATGAAAGAACTTTACTCAAGTGCAAACTACCTGTAGCATCAGTGAATGCTATTTAGTCTTCTTTTTATACTTATCATTATAAATTATTTAACAAAAGTAACCAAAACGTAAAAATTATATATTTTTGAGTGTAGCCTAACAAAACTTCAGTAAAATTAAATGTTTAAAATTACTCTATCTCGACCCTATGTAACAGGAAACCTCCCGATGTTTACTTTAGCTTTATGAGAAACAGCTGTTGGTCTTTCACTGTTTTATTGCTCTTCATGCAGCAATTACTACTTCGGTGTGTACAACTACAAAGAACAGCAATAAAACTCTAAAATGAAAATGTTAGCAGTTGAAACTGTAACTTGGGACTTTGATTAATACTGCAGTCATTGTAGATTTACAAAATGACATTATTCATTGTCATATTTTCCAACTGTACATTAATGATTTCACTCCACTTTTTGTTAGAGTAGCGGAAATAAGAGATAAAACAATGTTTACTAAAATAAACTTTTCATATTCATTTAGAGCAGGGATTCCCAACCTTTTTGTTCCTCTGTACCCCTTAGGCATTCCCTCCCAAAGCACTAATGGAGGGAGGAGAGCTTGCCCAGTTGGCTGATCCCTAGTTTATTAGCTGATTTGTAAGGAGGGTGTTCTATATTGCTTATGTTCTACATTACTTATTGAAAACGTGAGTTATAATGTAGCACAACAATAACATCACAACATTCACCATGATCACAACTTTTAGTCTAAAGAGTGTATATTTATGTGAGCCACTTTGCTCTCTTTGTCTGACTTAAAACTCCATGTAAAGTGTAAACCATAGTTATACTCTCAGATCCCTATGTACCCCCTGAGAAGTGCAAATGTACCCCCTGGGGATACATGTACCCCAGGTTGGGAATGTCTGATTTAGAGGTTATGCAAGTGTAATATGAAAACTAAGATAAAAATAAATATTATTAGCAAGTCTTAGACTGTCTTAGTAAGTACATTAGCAATTCATATACAAATCTTTAATAAAAAATATTTTATTAACACCTGCCACACGAGCCAGCCCAGCATCTTTTAGTACGGAACGTAGGATGTTCAACAGGGATGTCATTCTGGAAACTGGTGTTTAGGGTTATATCGATAGATTTTGATGAATGAAGGTTGGCACAATTTCTAAAATGAAAAAATTATATATAAATTAATGATATTTGACATGATGAAATCTATATGGATTATTATATACCATACTGGGCATTATACCATCTTTCTTATATTTGCTTTTCATTGCATAAATGGCATTTTGAATGTAAGAATCGCTAGAGAAATCATCTTGTAATGCATCGTGCATCTGCTTCAACACTGCATCTGTGGGCTTTACTGTGCCGTTAGTTTCGCAAAATATTGAAACTAATGATTCCAATCCCCCTTTTTGTAGATAACAATACTATTGTGCCTATATTTTTTATGCTTTACAAGCAATGCAGTAATAAATTGCTATGTCAAATCAATTGTGATATCTTCAACTAAGTTCCTCCCTCATCCAACTTGGACTCACGGTTTAGCTTAATCACTCCACTTAAACCATCAACTTATCAAACAGATCTAGAACATTTCAAGCATGTTTCATTGCTACATCATTTTACTTTACATTTCTAAGGTAACTTCTCCATGTTGACCATTGTCTCGGGTCAGGTCATGCGTCTGATCCAACAACCTAGACGTCGAAAGTAGTGCCAAACGTCTTTTTGTCTAATCAAAAGAATCCAAACCTTTCTGGTATGACTTTTCTTTGTTTGATCCATATCAAGATGCCAGGCTGACTCATGTGACAGGTCTTAAAATATCTGATTTTTTTTTATGTACAAAAGACTTAATATTTACTAAAATCTTGCCAGATTTTCTGAAGATACGTGAACTATTCTGAATTTATAGTTTGTATAGCTTCATAGAAATTTTCTTGGTCCGTTAAACTGATACAGTTTTAAGGTGTTAATTTGCAAATATTATGAAAGTTAAAACAAGTTTTCAGTTAAGTAAATCATGTAAATCAACCTTTTTATAAATTTCAACTCTTAGATCAATGTTAGTATGTGTTATAATTGTAGACCACCATATAATAACAAGGGCCTTCAAAAGGTATTGGAGCTAAATGCAATGCATAATGATCACAATAAAGAAAAATAATTGATATTATTTTAGTAGTTTGAAAGTAAAATTAAAGATTAAACAATTTTTACTAGACAGTTGAGGCTTTAACCTGATTATATATGTTAAAATACAGGATGTCATATGATACATGCACACTCTGTTGGTCAAGACTTGTTGGCTACAACTGTACGTATAAAAACTTTTAAGATGTTCAAGAACTATATTGTAAGTATAACTTGCATTTATCCAAAGACATTTTGAATTGATATGACACTGCTGTTCTAGAGTGTTCAAAACAACAAAGCATTGTACCAGTTTTGCACCACAGAGAAATGATAAGTTTTGGTTGGCTGTTAAGTTACTTCTCTTTCTGCTTTTGAAAATAAACAGTTTGAACATGCCGAGTTTGAGAAATTAACATATCTGTTTCACCATGAAAAAGCAATAAGTAAAATGTACAGGTGTATCGAAAAATCAAACAGAAACTCGGTATTAAATCTGCCGTACTGGACTAGTGGGTCATGTCAGAAATTGGTCTGAATATATTTCATACTCATCCCAGGCTATTGATATAACATTGATGTCAAATCCTGAGTGTGTTAATTTTAGCTTTGCTTTTATTTTTTGCTTAGCTAACACTTCCAGAAAGTGAAAGGACTACACCAGGACACTCGCCAGTTCCATCAAGAAAATTATACATGTCTTCAGCTTCTCAACGACCACCAGCCATAGACAACTCTTCTCTTATTGTACCTAATATGTCAAAAGTAAGATCCCACTTTACAGTATAAGTATTATATAATTATACATGTCTTCAGCTTCTCAACGACCACCAGCCATAGACAACTCTTCTCTTATTGTACCTAATATGTCAAAAGTAAGATCCCACTTTACAGTATAAGTATTATATAATTATACATGTCTTCAGCTTCTCAACGACCACCAGCCATAGACAACTCTTCTCTTATTGTACCTAATATGTCAAAAGTAAGATCCCACTTTACAGTATAAGTATTATATAATTATACATGTCTTCAGCTTCTCAACGACCACCAGCCATAGACAACTCTTCTCTTATTGTACCTAATATGTCAAAAGTA